TTATTTTTATATTATAGTATAATATTATTTTTTTTTATGGTGAATTTATTTAAAAATTTTAAAATATAATTTATAAATAATTATGATAAATAAAATAAAATGAAATAAAAAAAATAAAAAATATATATAAATTTTATGTCTCAAAAAAAAATTAAAAAACGTTATCATATAAGAAACGTTTGTGTTTAGTATATAGAATTTATTTTACTTAAGTTTTAATTTATTTACATGTTTATAACTGCGATGTATTTATTATGAAATATAAATGAAAAAAGTATATTAGAATACCTGAATTTCTTGATTTGTGTATAAAAGTTGTAAGGACACTTAAAAAGTAACGGACTTCATGATTTATTATTGTCAGTGAAACTTTTATATATCAATCCCGTTCAATTTATAGAAGGCAGAAATATAGGTAATTTTGTTTTCTTTTTAAAGGTAATTTTACCATATTCAGCCAAAGTTTCTAAAATGTTAAAGCAAAGGTTTTTATTTTTATTTTTTATGTATGTTATAATTAATATATATTGGTGTCAATTACATCGAATTTTAAGATATCAAAATTTTAAAGATATCAAATTTTTGGTGTCAATTAACATCTAAATTAAATTTAAAGATAAAATTAATAAATATTTTAAGATATCAATTTTTTATTGATTATATTATTTTCTTATTTTATAAATGTTCTTTTATCTATATTTATATCTAGGCCTGAGCATCGGTCGGCCACGGTCGGTTTCGGACCAAAATTCCTAAAATCATCCGAAACCGATTAAGAAAAATCAGGGGCCATTTCCGACCGACGAAGAACTCAGATTTTGGCGGGTTCAATCCGTGCGGGTTACGGGTTCATCGGATGGATTTATCGGTTTGAGAAGCTTCCTCGTCGCCATCCGTCGCCATTCTTTGCCGGTCTCTGTCGCTGCTTCATTTGGGGGAAATCACGGAGTTTCAGATCTCCGCATCACCACCTTCATCAACCAGAACAGGAAGTTTCTCAGCAGCGGTAGCCATGGAAGAAGAAGAAAGAAGCAGAAGAAAGAAGACGAAGTGAAGAAGAAGAATAAAGAAGACAGTGTGAAGAAGAAGAAGAAAGAAGCAGAAGAAAGAAGATGGAGTGAAAAAGAAGAAGAAAGAAGACGGAACGAAGTAGAAGAAGAAAGAAGACGAAGTAAAAATGGAGAAAATAAACGGTGAAGACGAAGGTGAAGAAGAAGAAGATAAACGGTCGGATTCGGGTACATCGGATGAGAAAATTCCAATACCGAATCCGACCGTTCAAAACCGTTTGAACCCGAAATTTGCTTCAAAAAAAATTCGATATACCTAAGAATCAATCCGCCTCACCCAATCTGATCATCGGTTTGGCCGGTTTCGGATCGGCCGGAAATTTTTGCACAGGCCTATTTATATCATATCTACATGCATATTATAAAGAGAATATGAATTAGTGTAATTATTTTTTGTTTTTACTTTTAGTGGATCATTACATCTTTAAAAATATTTTATATTTTGTGAATAATCATGCATAATCGCTCTTAAATTATTTTATGTTTAATTTTAAAAAAATTAAGACGCACGAAATACTTTTTTTTTCTCCATTAATATATATAGAGGTGATTATCTACTATGGTGTATACAATATTTTTGACAAGTTTTACTAAAATAAAAAGAAATTGTACAATAACAATTACTAAATGTCATAAAAATTTTAAAATTAAAAATAATTGTTATTACATTACTATCTATATTCAAGTGGAGGCACGCCTTTTTCTCTACTAGTTATCTATATATATTAACATATTATAATGGAAATATGGTATAGTGTAATTGTTTTTGATTTCCACTTTTAGTGGACCATTATACTATACCTCTAAAAAAAACTTCTCGTATTTTGTGAATCTACTTACAATCACTCTTAATTATCTTTCTTTATTTTCTTTTAAAAAAAAATAAGAGACATGAAATACCTTTTTTTTTTTTTCAAAAATAAGAATGAGTGCTAGAATTTTCTCCATGTCAATATGTTGGTCGATCAAGTGAAATGTTCAAGAAAAAGGTCATTAGGGGAGCCCTCAGTAACCTCTTCAATATGTGACCTCCTCAAGGAGGGTGTTATGTTCTTGGAGTATGAGGTGGTGATTGTTTCCTTCTGAAGTTCACTATTGTTGAATCAATTCCTCTGTAAAATTGTGTGAATTATGGAAATAATGTTTGGTGGTGAAATTGTTAGGGGAGAGCATTGGTTTCATTCCCATGTGGAGGAGGCTACAAACGCTTTGGAAATTATGAGAGGATTTTAAGGTAATGGATATATCACATGACTATTTTATGGTGGAATTTGATCTTGATGTCGATAGGGAGCATGTAATACAAGGAGGCACATGGATGCTCTTTGAACATTACTTGATTGTCAAATTGTCACTAAAGTTTGTGACATCTAAGGCGGAGGATGTTTGGGTATACCTTTTAGGGTTAGGCATGGTGTTTTATGACGAAAACGTTCTTCTTACCATAACCTCAATGATAGGAAGACCTATTAAGGTTAATCTCAACACCCTTAATATGACTAAAGGGAGGTTCGCTAGAGTTTAGGGTTTAGAGTTTGTATTGAAATTGACCTCTATAAATAGGTGTTAAGCAAATTTAATCTTAACAATGTATGGTATAAAGTAGAATACGAAGGCTTGCATTTACTTTGTATCATATGTGTGGTTGTTATGACCATGTTGCTTGTGTGTGCGTAAGTCCTCCTACAATATATAATAGAGAAGAGTGCCTAATGTAAGGAGTTAATGCCAAAAGGTAGAGGTCGATTCATCAACATTGAGTGGAGATGTTAGCATTAAAGAGAAGATGGAGGAGAAATATTAAATATAATAAATTTATATTAAATATTACACTGTTTAATAATTTTATATTAAATTAAATTTTATCGATCTAATTGGTGAATTATAATTTCATATGTATAACAAATTTTTATTAAAATTGAATAACAATTTGAAGGTAATCAAAATATTTATATATATATATTAATATATTTTGATATATATA